CATTTTCTGCTATGAATATTGTGAAAGGTCCACTTCACAACCGAATGGGAGATCAATGGTTGAGTGATAGCTTACTTGTTTATATTGAGAAAGATGTGTTTGCTTGTATTGATAATGAAACTATAATGCTACGTTTTCAGAATATGAAAACTCGTCGTGGACAATTGTAATGTGGTTTTTTTTTCTATGAATTATGAATTATAATATTATCGTTTCATTTTTATGAGTATATTTTGTATAAATTTTTTTTCACCTTTAGACGTTGACCCCTGGAATGAAATTTCCTGGATCCGCCACTGACTAGGATCATTACAAAAAAAAACTGAGAGTTTAAAAACTCATCCAATATGAACAGTTAACACTTCTCAAAGATAACTGCAATCCAGAAGGGATCTTTTTTAAAGGAAAGTACCTGATCAGCAATATGAATTATGACAGTTCCTTTGGTCTCAGTTGCAGAGGTATCAACACCACCAGCAAACACAGCAACCTGAAAAGGTGTAAACAAATATACAAAGCTTAGAAACCCAAACCCATGAATCATACATTTACACCACATAAAAAGTTCGAAAGCTTTTATCATAAAGAAAACAGCAACTGGATCACAAAACGAAAACAAGTATGACAAAATATAAAGAATTATAAACTACAATAAAAACATACTGTTAAGCAGAAATCCAAGGATACAAAGTTTGTCAATATTTTCTAAATAAGTGGCTCAAAATACAAATATTAACAATAATTTTAACTAACCAAACCCAACCTATTTTTATAATTCAACAATCTACAAAAGAAACATTTAACATACTTTTAAAGAATCAAAGTGGAACTCAATGCTAAAGAACAAAAATTACTAAAAGGACAACTCAAAGCAATCACTGAATCCATTATAATTTATTAGAATTAATAATAGACCATGATCAAACACAACACTTATTACATATATATGTTAAGCAAAAATCAAAATACCTATAATAAAAAAATTCAAAACAGAAGTGTGCTAACCTTGGCCTTTTCCATTCGCTTTATACTCCCCACAGCATCAGTTTTCAACACCATACCTCGAACTACTGTACAGTTATGCAAACCCCTACCCACAATCTTTGCAACACATACGTTATCCACATTAAAGTTTGCTGGGTTCTTGGGGCTTACTTGTATGCATGCCTATGTTGCCCAATAAAAAACTACCATTAGAACTTGCTTAGTAACACATTATTGTTCTTTCTTTTCCTTTTCTTTTTCTTTTCTCCTAAATAGCTGAGCAGCTGACATAGAAATTAAGCAGTAACAAATAAGGGCATGCAAGTTAGATTACATGGGCAACAAGTGAGGATAAGATATCTTCTTGTCCAAACTGCTTGCTGGCAACAGCTGGCTTCATTCTAGAAACCACTTCTTCTTTGTTACGGACATCCATATCTCAGAACCTGGCTCTACCAGTATGATCTCACTTGGGTGTAGGCCCATCCTTATAAGCTCCTCTGCGTTTTGCAGGAACCCCCCAGCAAAAGAAATGGTCATGTGGGTAAAGTATAACTTAACCCTTTCTAAACAGTATGAGGTTCCAAACTAAGCAAAAAAGTAGAATTGCTGCAGAAATTATTTAAAAGGAACTAAGTCAAAACTAAATTGAGAAATCTTAAGAAATTTGTATGCTTCACTAAGTCTACTAACAGATTCCCAGTGCAGGAAATGAAATATACGTATATCACATAAATTGCAAACAAAACCACAAAGACAAAATGTGAACAATGGCTACAAAAATGACCAGAAATTGCAAATTGTTATACCATGTAAGGCAAGCCTCCATAAAGAGCAACTAAATTTATATATGCAGGTGTACAAAATAGTTAAGCTTCAAAATCGAAACAGTGTATGTGCCATGTAAGGCAATTAGCCACTGCTTCTAGACTGTACAATATTACACCTCACAATATCCATCAGGGCCGAAGACCCGGGAAATGATTTCACTTTGGTACACATAATAACTAAACCAACTAGCTCTAGCAAAAAGGCAGGATTTTCCAGCAAAGCATCTATGTCTGCATCTTCATATAAAGGAGTTCCTGACATAATTAATGAGCACAGCGAATTCCCAAGTCATAAGTCCACACTGAACTCAATTCACAGACATTAAGACATTTACCTCATAAATATGCCTCCCCTCTCAAACCCTCTATTGCAAGCTTCAGTCAGTAATATTTGATCTTCAAAGGGTCAACTTTATCCAACGAAGTCCCAGCACTGAGATGCTCGATGAATTTTATGGTCATGATTCCGCAAGACGTACAGTCAAGCCAATAAGTTGGGAATTAGAACTGCAATTATGTAAAATATCGATAAACTGCACTAAATTCACAAAGCTTAAAAGTGCATATTGTACAGCACTCGTGCCAGCGTATCGCTAATAGGGTGCAGATGTGTAACTGTAACATCTCACATCGACCAACGGAGATGGGGTGATGTGCATTATATGTACATGCCTACCTCCATTTAGCACGAGGCCTTTTGGGAGCTCACTAGCTTCGGAGTCATGGGAACTTCGAAGTTAAGCGAGTTGGGGCTAGAGCAATCCCAGGATGGGTGACCCACTGGGAAGTTGCTCATGAGTTCCTAGAAAAAAAAACCGTGAAAGCAGAGAAGGGCGCCCAAAGCGGAAAATATCATGCTACGGCGGAGCCGATCCCGGGGTGTGACAATTTGGTATTAGAGCCACTCTGCCGTATGGTGCGAGTGTGTCGACGAAGACGTCGGGCCCTTAACGGGGGTGGATTGTAACATCCCACATCAACCAACGGAGAAGGGGTGATGTGCCTTATATGTACATGTCTGCCTCCATCTAGCACGAGGCTTTTTGGGAGTTCACTGGCTTCGGATTCATGGGAACTCTGAAGTTAAGCCAGTTGGGGCTAGAGAAATCTCAGGATGGGTGACTCACTGGGAAGTTGTTCGTGAGCTCCCAAAAACAAAACCGTGAGGGCGGAGAGGGAGGCCCAAAGCAGACAATATCGTGCTACAGCGGAGCCGATCCCGTAATATGACAATTTGGTATCAGAGCCACTCTGCCGTGTGGTGCGAGTGTCCCGACGAGGACATCGGACCCCTAAGGGGGGTGGATTGTAACATTCCACATCGACCAACGGAGAGGGGTTGATGTGCCTTATATGTACATGCACACCTCCATCTAGCACGAGGCCTTTTAAGAGCTCACTGGCTTCGGAGTCATGGGAACTCCAAAGTTAAGCGAGTTTGGACTATAGCAATCCCAGAATGGATGACCCACGGGGAATTTGCTCGTGAGCTCCCAGAAACAAAACCGTGAGGGCAGAAAGGGGGGTCCAAAGCGGACAATATCGTGATACGGCGAAACCGATCTAGGGATGTGACATGGGCTCTGCCGTATTGTAATGGGCTATAGCTGGGCCAAGCTGTGTTTCACAGGACAATGAGCGCTGGTTCATGGAACCAATATTTTTTATAGGCTCGTTACGATCTCTTTGCGTGGCAAGTCACGCATTGGTTTGGCGTGGTATGCAGACCATAATTTGTGTAAGCGCATACAACAAATTCCTGCGTATTACGGTCGGGCTTCTTTCTCGATTGAGCATTGTACTGGGCTAGAAACATATTTAGGCCCAAACTTGGATTTTTCGGGCCTCAACAACCGTTATCTAAATTATCACACGGTTTTTAACTACCGCCGTGTTAAAATTCATACTATGACGATGGTTTTTATAAGTGACATATGAAATATAATACTACAACAATGTTTTCAAAATACCGTTGTTTTTCATTCTTTGAAAAGCTAAAAAATATTTTGACTTGTTGTCTTTGTGCATGTTATATTCTTTCATTCCTCTGTAATCATGGTTTCAAAAACTCAAAGTAAAGAAGTTAGTGAGAAAAAAACACTCAAAGTAAGATTGCAATGTTTCAAAAGCTCAAAGTAAGGAAGACAAGCTGAAAGCAAGCTACACAAGTCCCCTAAGAAGATGAAATTTGTTTCTTGTAATGAGAAAGAAGCAACTTGCACAACTACATTTGATGAGGAGGCGAAATTAAATCGTGGTATAAACACAATGAGCCGAGTTGTGAAGAGAAGAATAAAACAAAACATGTTGTTGAGTACAATAAAAGAGGGAGGCCACATGGTAAGGCATCTGTTGAGATGCAATCGTATATTGGAGTGTTAATTAGCATGCACGAGAGTCCGTTGTCGATTTGAGATCACTGATCTAGAAGTCAATACCATTTTTCATATAATCTACAAATCAATGTCATTTTTTATAGGGGGGTTGGAACATGACCTAAACCCTAAAAAAATTCCTCAATTGAAACTCTTAAATGGATCTATATGAGTCTGCCTGCCCACATGCTAAGTAACATGTATATCGTATGAAATTGCATGATTTGTCACCTTTCTACGTGGCCGGCCCAAAATCATCTCCCTCGGAATCTCTCACAGACAAACGCCCACACACACTTGTTGTAACTTGTGAGGGCCATGCATTGCATGCATGTCATTTTCTTGTTTGCACAAGAGGACGTGACGAGTCTTAATGAGGGTGCAGATTCATTTCACACAAGAAACAAAATTGGAAGCTGAGAAAATCAATACAAGATTAGGAAAAACTCATCGATCGAGCAAAGGCAGCTTTTCTTCAGAACTTAACAAAAACTTATCACTGTTTTCAATACCTATACGACATACATGCAGCTTCTATGCATTGGCAGACCATCAGGCATCATGCGGTGCAGGGATCTAATTTTGTACATTTTGATGAATCGGTTAAATTACATGCATATTTATTTATGAGCTGTTTAGAATTGGGTACCAAAATAGTAGAATCAGTTATATGGTCCTTGTGACCGGTGCCCTTCTGGGCTTTTTTGTGCTTTTAATGGCTGTTGTAACGAACTTTCGTGGCGATGAACGAAACATCTCCCTATCGTTTGACAAATAAAAAAAAAGTTGAAGAATATATTAGGATTTTCTCAAAGTTCTAATGTATTATAAGATGTAATTTAAACAAGCCTAAAATCATTCATGAAAGTTTATTGACATAGCTCACATGTTCACTCTTAACACTGTCCTACACATCTTACAAACAGGTCAGATAAACTAGTTCAAATGCCCATCAGCATGGGCTGAGCCTCAGAAAGCCCAAGCCCATTAAGATCCTACTCAAGGTCTTTTTCTGGTACTGTAGCTACATATGGAAAATAGAAAAATAGAAAATATAAAAAGAGAATTTAATTAACACAAGGTAGCTGCTTCCTCAATTACTCTAAGCATGTGGTGAATTGCTGTTGCTATGTCATCCACCGAACTCAGTAAGCACCCTTCTTCAATCTGCATGCAGAATTAGAATGTTCGAATTTTAGACCCAAATTCATTGATTTCTTAAAAAAGCAAACAAATATTTGCAAATAAGGAAACGTCACTAACGTACACAAAAATGCAAAACCTTAATTATTGGTGATGGAACTATCAAAACAGAATGACGAAGACGCTCATTCTAGTAGATCAAGGTTCGATACGTATGCAAAAATAATTTATAATAAAAAAAACTATACATGTATGTCAAAGTAATTAATAAGAAAGTAAGAGTTCCGGACAAACATTTTCCTTATTCTTGCGTATATACGTACCTTGACACTGATGGAGTAGAGAACATAAGGGTCCATGGTGGTAACTGTAAGATGAAGGATGGTGAGCTGAAGGGATTGAATTCCACCAACCAACTTGGAAAGCTGTCTGGGGCTAATTCTGCGTGACATGATCTTAAGGTTTGCATGGGTCTCAATTAATGTGACCTCAATATCGGCTATGGCTGCCTTGGTTTTTGATGTGAATTTGTTGGGGCAGTGAGACCAAGTGTACTGAGGGCATTCTAGTAATTGTGTAAAAGGGGTTTGCACAACTTTGGAGGTGGAGGTGGAGACATCTGCATTGTGTAGAAGTTGGAGTTTCTGTGCTTCAACGGAATGCAAGAGGTGCTCAAGCTCCTTCACGAGTTCTATGGCTCCTCCTACTATGGACGCCTGGTCACCCTACACACACAAACAATGAGAAGAAAACAAAAGCAAGATGAAAAAAGTGGAAGCAGGAGATCAAATTATTGGTCCTACTTTTTCATGTATAAAGTGTACACAACTGTATATATATTGTTCTGGAAAAGTGGACATGCAGTGTATATTATTATCTATGATAATTATATTCCCATAATTAAATTGAGAAATACTAATGATTATGATGGGATTAGAAGTAATTTAACAACAATGTCTAATACCACAACATGATTTAAGGGGAAGAATTAATAATAGAAAGCATGCATGATGCATGTCATAAATTTCTCTAAAATCCTAACCAAGGATAGTATTTTTTTTATTTAAACACTTCTTGATATACTAATTAATCTTCTTTGTTCTTCAATTTTAATCAGTGAGGGTGTGTTTAGAGAGAGAGAGAGAGAGAACCCTTTGGACATAAGAGTCAGGCATGAGAGAGCGCAGAATGGCAAGATGCTCATTCATTTGTTTTCTGCGGTTTCTCTCAACGGCAATGTGAGTCATTCTCTGAGTCTCAGCTTCTTCCTTGTTCTTGCAAACCCTTGGCTTTCTCCTCCTCTTCTTCCGCCCTTGCTGCTGCTGCTGAGCATTATTATTGTTTACACCCAGAGAACTCTGCTTCTGCTTACCACCACCACCTGCTGCTGCGGCTTCCAAATTCAACGCCCTCTTAATTTGGGTGTCTTGATCAGATTTCATGCTACTGGTGCTGGTGCAGAAGTACTTGTCTGGAGGTATGAAATTGCTAGTCGTCCCTGAAGAGTCTTGGAAGCTGTAGGGGGTTGCGGAGATGGTATCATAAATGATGAAGTTGAAAGGCTCATTAGAAGTAAGAGCTTCTAAAGCCATTGTCATGTATTTCTCTCTCTCTTTCTGTTTGCACTTCTTCTTCAGCACCTTTATTTGATTAACTGGCACTTGAATATATATTGACTTATAAACACTACCCTTTAGCTCCTTTTCTATTCAAGGACCACAATCATTTTACAGAAACACCCACCGCACCATCCCTTCAACTTAACACAGAGAGAAAGAGAGAGAGAGAGAGAGAGAGAGAGAGAGAGAGAGAGAGAGAGAGAAGAAATGTTAGAGAGGGAAATGGTGCACGTGAGAGAGGCAGAAAAGGTGAGGTGCTTTTCAGCTTCGAAAAGTGAAGGAAAGAGAAAGAGAGAAAGAGGGGTCTCTCTCTCTCTCTCTCTCTCTCTCTCTCATCTTAGTTTTGGTTTCCTTCCCAATTTCGTAGATGGTGTCAAAAAGAGTGGCCCAGTACGTGCAGTGGATCAGAGAAGGGAAGGTGGGGGACCCAAATCTATATAGATATATGCATACAAACAACACAACAAGCTGTGCAAAAGCAGCTCCTCACATTCAAATCTGTGTTTGGTTTTGGAGGAAATGACTGGCTCACGTACCCTACCAACACATAGATTCTCTCTTCTCTTATTTATTATAAACTCTACGTATAATTTACAAGCACACTCTATAACATTTAGATTTTCTCCTCTACGGATATCCAAACATTATTACAGTGCGGATGTTATGTATTTTTTATTATCTCTCCCTGCTTTCTACTCTGTTTGTTTACAATTAATATATGTTTATCGCATTTGTGTAGATATAATATGTATATATATAGCGCCTAATAAAATGAAAATTGGTTTATTACATGTCAAAGACCAGCAGCAAATGCAGGAGGAGGAGGTCATTGCAACGTCAATTGTCAACCCTGTTGGTGATATTGACATATTGAAAGGAAAATGTGAGCAGCAACCCTAAGTATTAAAGGGATCAAAAGCTCATTAATTAACCCTAATCATGAGCCTTTTTCATTCTTTCTATTGCTAATGCTTTGATGCTTAACAATATTAGGCCAATTATATCAAGAAATAGCAAGGCTTAATACTATACAACTAGCTAACTAGTATTATCCTATCCATCCAGAAAAGCAAAAAGGCTGTATTATCATACATAGTATAGGTATCAATAATTGGTATAAAAGGATCCATTATTTGCAAGTTACATTCAGAAAATGAACAACTTTATTTAAAAGGGAAAACAAACTATTCATTGAGTGTAAAAACCACCCTCTCCATGTGTTCCATTATATATAGAAACAGAGTGAAAAAGACTTGTCCCTCTGCCTGTGCAGCTTAATTTGTACTTTCTCGAGCATTAGGGCTTACCCAATAAATAAATAAATAATTCATCATAATCAGTAGATCTAATCCAACCACTAATAAAAATCCATTTAAAAGCTTATTTTTTTCTGTTACCATAGTAGATGTTCCCTTTTTAAGTAAATAATCATGGGACCATTTTAGCTCACTGTTTTAACCCAAGCTGTATGCTCATCACCATTTTCAACACTTAACACGTGTTTATAAGTATAATCATGGCTACGTAAATCAAAGTAAAAAATTAACTATAATTACGCTTATACGTGTCAAATATTAAAAAAAGTGATAAATATAGATTTTGAAGAGTTAAAGTAGTGAGGAAAGAACATTTCAATAATCATAGCATATCAGCATAATGATGTGGTTTGACTGTCAGCAGAATTTTTTCTGATAACATTATGGAAAACTGTACACTAAATTTGCTCTATTTATACTATTTATAAGCCAATAATGCCCCTAGCATGTCAGAAATAAAAAGAGATTGCAATATTCAAATGGCTTTATAAAAATAAAATAAAAATTAATAATTACATAAACAAAAACAAAGAGAAAGATCTGAAACCTGTTGCCTTATCTAGTGACGAGGACATATGGAGGGAGGATGGTCCAAACTGTCAGATCCTCTTCTCTGCATGTTAATCCATGTGACCTTCTCTAGGAGAAGTACATCTTTGCTGTGATTAACCATAATCTAGAGGACTTACATGTTTGACAAAAAAAAAAAAAAAAACTTATATGTCACGAGGATATCACTATTTTTCTCTTTCTATCTTATCACACGTGGCGAAATATAATTGATTAGGGATATCAAACAGTGACATTCCTATTGCATACAAAATTTTCTCCATAATCAACCCTAATTTTTTGCCCCACATGCAGGTTATTTTGGGTATCGTGTCAAGTATCTTTCTCTTCTACTGTAGTGTTTTTGTACTATTGGAAATTGAAGGTTACATCTACGTTTCGAATGCACAAATCGTTGCATGAGTTGTCGTTGTATTTGCTGAGAGACTGACAACCAATGGCAAATGCATTTTCATGTGCATGCCCCAGATGTTGTGCCTAATCCTCGGCATGCCATCATTAGGACTCGGCGCCATTATGTTTGGCCATTAGCTCCATACTTCTATTTTGCATTATGCATACTCGAATTATACTTGCGCAAACCCTCAATTGTTTGATTTTTTATGACGGAAAGTAATTTTTGGTTCTTGTAGTTTGCCAGATTTTTCACTTCGGTCTATGTTCTTTTGATTCTGGCGATTTGACCTTAGTAATTTGATATCCATCGCAATTCTAAGATGATTGAATTTACATCCAATCCAAACTTATCCTTGCATTAAGATGAATATCAAACGACATAGGTCAAACCGCCAAAATTGAAACCACACAGACCAAAGTAGAAAATTCGAAAATTCGACAAACTGACCAAAATGCCTTCTTCCTTCTTTTTTGTAAATCCCCACCCTTAACCGAAAAAAAAATGGTTATCAAGCGTGGATTAGGGGAAAAAAAATTTGGTAATCATGGTGGATTTAAAAGTATGTTGTAGGAATTTTCATTTAGTTCCTGTCCTTGACTAATTAGATTGTCACACAGATTGTCCCCCTACCAAAATTTCAGTCTGATACCGCAAAAATCTAGCAATCCAATGAGGAAGGATAGGGAAATCGCATAGGCAATCAAAATAAAAAGGGCTTTGACTGATGATGCAAACAGGGTATCCACAAACAAGTTCACCAAACCTGTGAGCAAGTTTGCCTGTAAGAAACAGAAGATTAAGATTATTTCAAGTCTGATCGACGAGCAGCTGCCAAATGTTGATAAAAACAAAACAAAAATTTGTTGGTTACCACAAGAAGGGAAAAAAATACCAGAAGAAATGTCCCCAGCAAATTGCGGTCATATGCTTCTTCCAGTACTGAAGTTTTGCTTCCAGGAAGAAAATCGGAGAGCAGTAGTATTGCCAGCACCTGAAAATGAGTGACGATTTGAAGAGTTAAAAAAAATGTACAAACCAGTTTCAAAGAGCAGTTGGTCAGAAATGGGATGTACACTTAAGTCAGCAATAGTTGGACAATTGACAGAGTGCAACTTGGAAAAAATTTAAAAAGATAAACCAATACAATTCTGTTCCCTATACAAGTTACCATCCAAAATGAATAAATAATATATGAAACTAAAATCTTCCGAAATGGATATGCCATTTAAATTTTATAAATCCAAATCACAGGAAATGGGAATAACCTGTAAATTTACTGCCAATACCAGTGTAACATAGCCCAGGTTGCACTGCACAATGTGTACATACTTTAGTTTCCTCAAAACTAATATTCAAACACGTACATAAATTATAGAAAAGAAGACAAAAGTACACATACCGTTCTACGGGAAACTCTCTCGACGTGGCGGTCTATAATCACAGTTAATAACCTGAAACATATAACACCTTAAGCAATAACCTTGCTACCAGAACAAAGAAGGGAGAGAGAGAATAAATTTGAAAAAGCAACTTGGAGAAGAGAAATACCAAAACAGAAGTGAAAATATCCAGACTCTAATCTTTGCCCAGTTAGTGCTCCTCATTGTTGCAGAGGAATGGTTATTGAAGAAAAGAAAGTTTCCTAACTGGACACCAACAAGGTACAAACCCCAATATCCTGGGAATGAAAACAATCAAATACTTTACAAAAGGAATAGAAAAAAGCAATAAGAAGCAAAACCCAAAAAGACAGGCTTGAATTATTATAATTCAGCTTCCTCTCAGTGTTATGTGATCGTTTAAATTTACTTCCATATCATTTCAGTTCTCAACTTTTTGGATTTTCATAGTCTTTCATCAGTTTATCCTAATTGGTTTTTGTAGTGTTCATGTCCAGTATTCAGCAGTTCACCTCCTATGCATATGATTAACCAAATCCATTATCACTAAAAAGAAAGGTATATAACATGTTAACCAGAATTGTTCTTCCAATGCATAATAGAACATGACATTCTCTCCAGATATATCAGAGATGTTCATTGACCCCCAAATATCCACAATTAGGTCATCCAATGAATTAAATCATGAACTAAATGCAACCTAATTGCATCACAACCAAAATTTAGTTATGGAACCCATTTAACTTCGTTGTTTGAGTTACGGAAAACTCTAGTAAATATCAAGATTAGAGTGAGTGAGCTCGGTGGTGATGGTGATGATCATAAGGATAATGGCATAATTGTAGTGACTAAGAACATTCAGAAAACAAGATTCAGAATTCTATTACAATTTTTCAATTATCAAATGATGAATTTTGAACTTTTCATATTTAAAGGGATTCATGCATCATTATGAATGATACTATTATCCCGCTATTATAAAAGATGATTTTGGTAGTTTTTACAATAAAACGAAATAATTCAACATACTTTCATTTTGTATTGTAGCTTCGAACCTTCATTTAATTTAAAAGATAAAAGACCTCAGGCTAAATAACTAATAAAACAAGCCAATCTCATCTTTCTATCATTGTTTATATCCTTTACCTTTCATAATAATAAGAAAATGTGAAAGCAGCGAGTTGAACGCTAGAACTACTAGTCATAGATCCTAGCACCAAATTCCATTGATTACAAGCCCGACTTAACCAAGATGGTAATTGCACAGTTAAACTGCCACACCTTTTTTTTTTAAGACTGAATCTAGATTGCTTTTCCCTGTTTTGCACAATTTACAGTATATCTGACAATATATGAGCATAGAGAAATATCATGATTCTATTGTATAAGTTATGCAGAGATTATGACTTAAGAGTTTGCTCTTCCTAAAAAGTAATCTGGGTGCAGCATTCAATTTGGTTATCATACTACAACTTCATTTGAGC